GCACTGCAGTATCTCTGATATCAATGGCAAACTCCTTTTTGTTGGCACTGTTCAAGTCCAGAGCTAGCAATGCGCTAGCTAAGTGGCCGTGCACATTGTTGCCATGGAGACTCTGCAGCACACGCATCTCCGAGCGCAACGTGTCCACCACGGTGTACAGATCCATTGTGTCCGCATCAAAGAACAATCCGTTTATGAACAAAGCTCCATCAGGCGGCGACACATTCAGGCTGCGTCCCAGCGATTCGGAATTGTGCTTCACCTCTGCGCGTAGCTCATCAGAGACTTTGTGGGCGAGCAATGTCCTCGCCAACATGGGGAAATTGTGTGCCGTATACTGGAGTATCTGTAGCGCCTCGTCGCCTTGTATCTCGGCTATGGATGCGGCCGCCTGTAGTCCTAAGTCCTGGAATTCCCAGGCTTTGAGTTGAGCAATCTCATCGTTGCCCTGGAGCAAGCGTTGGCGTAACTGGTCCAGTGCACGCTTAAGCGTGGGATGCTTGTTTTTGAGTAGCTTGAAATCAAAGCCCTGCACATCAGTTTCGTTTAATTCCTCTGATGTGTCACCATTGCCAGTGCCAGCCTCCGGCTTAGGCGCATCGTCCTGACTCTTGTACTCTGTGGATTTCAAATGCAATTCCACACCGTAGCCGGATAAACGTACAGGCCGATCACTTCGCTTGCCCACGTGATGCCGCAGCAGGTATCGCACTTTTCCTGTATTTGCAGCGGCTTCTAGCAGCTTGTGGTATGGTCGAAATGCGGCAGTGCCCAAATCAGCATAGAGCACCACAGTACGGGTGTTATTCTCACTGCCAGGATACACATGATCGAAGCTGTAGCTGACCACATCAGCATCCAGACTGCTTTTGGCAACTGGCAATTTCAGTTTTTGCTCTAGCTCCGTGTAGCTGCAGGCGAGCTCTGTGCCCACCTGTGCGAAGATGCTGCCCTCACAGGCTCCAGCTGTGCGAAGCTCGTCAGCCAATTGGAAGTGCGTCTGGATGCGCGGCGTCAAACTGTGCATCGCGACGACCAGCTTAAGGAGTGGCAGTTGTGGGGCACTCACATGCGAGCGCACCAACTGCAAGGCAGCATTGTACTGTTGCGACTCCGTATCTGCAAGGGATAATTCCATTAATATTACTATCCCAACACGAATCCACATTCAACACCCACCATAATCGTTGAGCGCCGTGTCCAATGCCGTTACAGCCTGCACATAGTCCCAGAAGAGACCTGCCTGCTCGTCCGCCAAATACTCGGCAATTTCTAAATACAGTGGCGTTTGTGTCCATTTGGCATTAATGAGAGTGGTAATTGGATAACTTTGACTGGACTCAGCAGCCCCCACCGAAACACCAGCTGGCGACAGCAGTGTGAACGTCGCAGTTGCCAGCAGCAATACACACACAAAACGTAACATTTTCAGCTGTGAATATATCTGTGAGCTCTTCTATTACGTGAACATGTCGCACTTATTATAAAAGCTTGCGGACTTAATAAGTACACGCTGTTAAATTAATTCACTTTAACTTTTATTTTCTACCGAAGTCTTAATTAAATTTAAGGCGAAAAACTGATGTGGCGTTTTACCGGCCGGACAAGCGTTACCACCTTGCTACGAATGTGTGGCTCAATATGAAGCTAAACTGAACCAGTTCCAAGAGTAGTTCTCTTTGCATAAATTATCAATAACTCGATGGATTATTGGATAGTTATATGAACAATTAACAGTCATTTATTCTATTTGCTTTATTAAAAAAAAAAATAATAATAATGAGCTTAGTTCATATTCAGATACCGTTTTTATTAAATACACCAACACAGTTTACTAAATAAAATGAACTATTATGAAAGAGCTACTCTAGAGTGGCCAAATGTTGTTATTTAGAGGCTGCCATCCGATTAGTTTTATCAGCTGATCCAGCGTCTTTGTTTATAAACTAAAGCGCGCCGAAAGTGCAATTTCGGAAATTATGAAATGCACTCTGGAGGGAGGCAATGCGCGTGGTAAATAATATATATATTTACTTTATTTTACAAATATTAATCAAATGTTTTGCTAGTCATTGCTAAGGCCATACAATCGTTGTCCAAAATTGGCAAAGAGCTGTTCATAGAAGCTGATGTCCATGGACTCAAAATGCGCTCCATCAATCCTACGCAATCGGCTGTGGCTAGCATTAGCTTTAGTCGCTGTATGTTTGATACATTCCAGCTACCACCCAGCGGCGACTGCTTTTGTAAAATAGCTATGAAGCCATGCCTCGGCGTCTTTCGCAATATGAAGCAGGTGAGTCCGTGCAGGCTTTTAATATTTACTATTGTTAATTTTGCTTTCTATTTTAGGTCGAATACTGCGAACTGAGCATTGTGGGTAATAAGACCAAACTACAAGTCAATCTACGCTGCAAGCTGGAGACCACAAAGCAGGCACTGATTGCAATTGTGGATGAATTGAATATTACGTCGAGTGTGCCAACTGATCAAAGTCCCAATAGGTAGCTAATGATGTATCATTTTATTGTACATAGTAAATTCATTTTATTTGTATTTTGTAGCATTCGCGGTGATCACAAGCTGTTTATGGAAATTTCGAATAGCTTCAATTCTTCTGAAGAGGAACTTACGCTGGAGGCCACGCCAGACAGTCTGTCAGCTAAGAACTACATCGAGGGTGCTCGTGTAAATGATAAGTTTATGCGATCGCAGCTGAAACTGAAGCATAGCGAATTTGAGCACTATCAGGTGGCCGAGGGATCAGTTATTACATTTTGCATTAAGGAATTTCGCGCCTTTCTGCTCTTTGCTGAGGCATTGAATGCGGCAATGACGCTGGAGTTCGATGACGCTGGCAGTCCATTTTTCGTGAAAATTAAGAAACACCGCGATATTGAGTGCTTACTCATCCTATCAACTCTGTCGCCCGAAGATGTTAGTTTCTCGGAAGATTATCGTCCGCGCGACATTACTGTGTGTAATACAACAAATGCATCTCAAAAACGAAAGAGCAGCACGCCGGGTCCAGAGATTCAGCAAAAGCGACGATTGGCTGAGGATACGACTCTCTCGGAGCTCGATACGTCGCTGTTTCAATTCCGCGATCGTCGCACCGAAGTGCCATCAGAGGTAGCTTCAGTGCAACCGGCTCGCATGCTAGCCGACGGTGACACTATGGATTTAGTTGATGAAGAGGCCGAAGAGGAGGCAATGTTGCTGGCCGTGTCAGATGCTGTGGAGGCCAGCCAGATACCTCGACCGAGCAGCACTGAAGTGTGCTTCTTCAATACAGAGGATGCGCCGCCCACACTATTGCCGGAAGACAATAACGAGGAGGATGAGAGCATACCTCAATCTCCGGAACGCGAGCGCGGCCTTAGGGTGCGCACCATCTTCTCTCGATGTTTTCAAAATACCTACGTACCGCGTGAGCCGTCGCCTAATAGTCAGGTGTATGCGCCCAATTCGGACACAGAAGATTAGCCTATTTTGTTCGTTTATTTATAAGGATTGTATAAACGTATGTGCTTTCATCCCGTCTCAATTGCCTCTCTCCTTTATGTGAATGACGGGCAAAAAGCTACTCGTCAACGCCGATGCAACTCGGTTCTGTAACTGTGCGGTGTTTCGTTGTGCCTGCTGCAGCGCTGTGTGAGCCGATTGTAGGGACAGCTGCGACTTGATGAGCATTTGATCGGTGGTCAGTAGCTGCTTGGAAGCAGTCACAACAAAGTTGCGTGTGAGCATGGTCAGCGCCTTACAAATTTCAATGTTGTTCTCAACTAAATTAGAGTGAATAAGACATGAATCGAGTCGAATACCATAGAGAATATATTGCACATACTCAATTTGCGCTGCAGCAAATTATTACGGTATATTGAGGCAGTTGCACTAGGTGTGCTTGGCTGCTCATAGATGTCATCGTCTTCTTCCTCGGTTGCCTCGCCAGACACTTCCGCTGCGTATATCTGCAAAGATTTGGTTTATGAGACTCGATGCTCTATTTATTTGTCAGTTGTAAATGCCTTATGCTTATCCACTTCCTCATCCGATTCGGAGGCCTCGCCACGCACTAAATCGGCCATCTTGTTGTTTATTATTAAATTACATGAGTGACAACTTAAATACCTGTTGGTCGTAATAATTGTCTATTTACCGTATTGTGTCGATAAATCGATTTGCAAGTCGATTACAGATATGCCCTATCGATACATTCCAATGAAATGTAAACGCTTAATTTGTCAAGCCTAAAAATCAATTACTCAGTTGATGTTCATCATTTGCACTACGATTTTTATTTAAAATAAAATGAAACAGTTAAATTAAATCATTATTCGAAATATTTTTGCAGCGTTCCCAATTCGTACATGCGCTTTATGTCGGTGCCGCCACCCACAAATTTACCATTGATAAACACTCGAGGCACCTGCAACGAATACATTTTACCATTAGGATAATGTAAATAGTATTTTTTGTTATTAACTAACCGTCCGAGCGCCTGTCATCTCGCCCAGTACAGATTGAATAGCATTGCCATCTTTACGTCCATCGAGCTCCACTATCATTGCATCAACCTTCAACTTGCGAAATGGCTGTGAAATAACACATATATTAATATAATAGCACATATTTGAAGTTCTTCGCTTGTAGTTTTTACCTCTTTAGCCATTGTGCAATAGGGACAAGTAGTTTTGCTAAATATTGCTACCTTATTCTTAGCAATTGTATCACGAACAAATTGAGCTTCTATGCTATCCATATTTATATGAGGTTTTGACGGTTCGCGGTCAAAATCCAAGAACGGAAATGGAAATTTTTTTGTTGCTATTGACAACGCTTGAAACTTGTCTCTTCTAAAGGACGTTAAGAGGTTGCTACGAAATCGTATAGGGATTACTAATTGAAGGTTAATTTTTAGAAACTTTATTAGCAACGCATTTTCGTTGACATGTCAATCTAATGTAGTTGCCAGATAACTAAGAAAAAAAAACGCTCACTTACTATTTAGAAAGTGCTGAAAACATAATCACTTTATTTATAACATGTAAAGACTTTATTTTGGGTAAACTATTATTGTTTTATATGTAATCAACAGCCCAAACATGTCAAACAAATATATTTAAAAGTGCTTAACAGGTCTGGCAGCACTATCGATTTGATGCGGTTTTCTTAAAACATAATTAAAGCTGTCATGCATATTATAGGTATACATACATTGTATACTATACAATGGCGATCACATATATCTTAATATAGTACATGAGCTCCAATTTAAACATGGACTCCACAATTAATATTTTTTGGATTTTTTCGACAACCCATAATTCTTCTATTTGACAACCTGCAACCAGTCGACTTCTCCTAACAGCTGATTCGACACGCGGATGAGTCCGCATTCATGAGTCGCTGCATTCAATACACTACGATTGAGTGATAGCACTAACGGTAATAGTGCCTCTATTTTCTAGTATTAGTTGAAAACACCTTCCACATACGATCGAATTCTGATTGGAAGACATTGGTCATTTTTGGATGAGATGTGATGACTACATTTTCCCAGTTGACGCCGATGCCGGTATCCGTCCAGTTGAGGGAGCCATTGATTAGGACGCTGTACGTAGTCTCTGGTCCGTAATTGCGTTTCTTGAGACTCCAAAGGTAATTCACTCGCTCTTGCCCATCGATCACACAGAACTTATGATGCATAAAATAATTGGAATTCTGGTTGCGCAGATGGGCGCCATGGTGAATTAGATCGACCAGAAGGTAATTGGTTTTATCTCCGCGTTGTAGAGTGACAATTATACGAACAACAACCTTGCGGAGCAAGGCGTTTTTCAAAGCGCGTGTCATCTCAACGGAGTAGACGGAATACATGGCCAGATCAATGCTGTATTTGGCCTTGTTCAGCTGTTCGATAATGCGGTCGATGTTGGCCTGAGCGCAATGCTTATTTTGACAATAATATAAACGGCCGTTTTCGCTGGACTTGCGATGCTCTTGCATGCATTCGAAGCCCAGTTCATTGAACATAAGCACCTCATGCACCTGAGCCTTTCGCCATCGGATCCACTTGCAGATCGATTTATATGCGAGCCATATCACCTCAGAGGCAGCAATTGTGCCGGTGGCAATGATGAAGATTGACCAAGAAGGATGCTGACGCAGCAGTTGAAACACTATAAAGGCATATATTATATATTTGACAATTTTCCGATATATTTTTCACTTACTCTTTTTCGAACAATATTCGTATCGTATATTGTTTACGCGCTCAACTCTCATACAATGAAAATGTAAACCTAGGGCAGAGCTGCTTTAACCGGAGGTGAACTGACTCTTCGTTTTTCTTTCTTTCTTATTTGTGTTTTACTTAAAAGAAATGCGACTATTCATAAATATATCAAATAGTATTTTCTATTCAAAAAAATTTTTAATTTATCAATCACACTTAGATCGTGTTTTAAGAAATAATAGCAGCGACTGGTTCCGATAAATATTCTGTTTTTGACATCTGTAAATCACTGTTAACTTAACAGGCCGGTTTAATTGATTTAACAGCTCAGTCCTCTCTTAGTCATAGTTTTTTCTTTTAAATGAATTAGATAAAAGATTGATAATTTGTATGGTGCGAACTATTGGAAGTTATTACAGAATACATAATTTTGGGCACTTTGACCGCTAGCCGGACCACTGCTAAGCTGGCCGCCAAATTTCAAAATTGGATAACAGCACTCAAACTGAAAATGTGATGTCACAACAGAGCTTTTATTAACATTCTAAGTAACAGAACTGCACTTTGAGTAACCTAAAGAGTAGTTTATCGGTGAACAGTGACTACACTTGAACGGAAAATCAATTTTTTTCGTAAAAGCGTGCCACTATGGAACAAAAAGGGCGAATGCAACTAAAGAAGTTTAGTTAATAACGCAAACAGCAATGCCGAGCAGTCTACTGTTCGCTACCAGTAGCGAGGGGCGCGTGCATACGCTGTCCACCAGCTCAAGTGGATGGCGCGAGTTCCCATATCTCGGTCTGGAGTTCAAGAAAATCAGCGCAGTCCCCAATTATATGTGGGCTATTGGCGGCGATCGACAAGTGTACGTTCATGTGCACGGACTTGATGTGCCAATACGGGTAAAGGAGGAGTCTTACGAGAACGAGCGCTGGCTGCCCATTGAGGGGTTCTCCAAAACGCTGCTGCCCACCGATCGTTATAAATACTCCAACGCTGATGGCAGTGTTGAAAGGAGCGTGGACAAGATTCGCTTACCCTCCATGGCCTGGCAGTGGGATGGTGATTGGCATCTGGACCTGGAATTGGACGGACAACAGCTGCCTGAAGATGGATGGATGTACGCCTTGGATTTTCCAGCTTCATACTCGGCAAAAAAGTCATGGAACTCGTATGTGCGCCGACGCAAGTGGATACGCTTTCGCCGCTATGCTGCTCTGAACAGCTGGTGTGCTGTCGCACCCCTGCACAAGGATCCTACGCAGGAGCCCTTCATTGATGTGGCCATAGGCGGCACACACGTGCCAAATGCTCCAGCCGGCACGCTTTGTGTGTGGGCCATAACGGCGCATGGCCGCGCAATGTTCCGGACTGGCGTCACTACCTTTGCGCCAGAGGGTCTACGCTGGACCGCCATCAACACGCCCGTCGGCAGTGAACTGGCCCAGATTAGCGTAGGTCCCACGGGTCTGGTTTGGGCTGTGCTCTACAATGGGCGCGTCATTGTGCGCACGGGCATAACACGGGATAATCTTTCGGGCGATGCGTGGCTGGACGTGAAATCGCCGGTGGCCACCAGTTCACAGACAGATACGCCACGTGGCCTGCGCATTGTGCAGATCTCGGTGGGAACCGATGCGGTCTGGTGCATAACAAACGATCACCATGCCTGGTTTCGACGTGGAATCAAAGGTGAGGCGGCTGGCATAAGTGAGGATGCTGCCATAGGCAGAGGCTGGGTAGAAATGGTTGGCAATCTGTCCATGATCTCAGTGGCACCAAATGATCAGGTATGTTTAAGGCCATTCAATCTGTCATTTTAACATTCTAATCATATGCCCCTCTCAACAGGTGTTTGCAATTGGCGCTGCAGATCGTGCTATATACTACCGATCCGGCGTTACCGCCGCTGATCCCACCGGCAAGAAATGGCTGAAAATTCAGTGCCCCATGCAAATCAGTCGTTCCTCCAGTTCCTTGTCCATAGTCTCACGCAAAAGTGGTGGCAGCAGCTCAACGCCCGGCTCCAAGCATCAAAGCTTTTCCAATCTCTATTCCAAAGAGAAGGAAAAGGGCGTTGTGGAAACGTGCGCAGTCATTGAGACTGTCACCACGCACAGCAACGCCTCCTCGAATAATGGTCTGAACAACCGTTTGAAGAATGACCGCTGGAAGCTGAGCGCTGATTCGCCGCCCACCATTGGCAGCCTCAATCTCAACGAGCGCCAGAAACATCGGGCGACTGCCTTGCGTGAGCCCTTATCGCACGCTTCCAGTGCGCCGGCCGCTGATGTGGCTGAGATAAGCGGAAAGTTTGAAACGCAGCTTAAGAATCCACGGGCCTGGTCACCGGTGCGCAGTGTTGGATCCGTTGTGGGCACCGAGGCGCATCCGGAAAGTGACTCAGCTGTCTTCGAATCGGAATCAGCGCATGGCTCTGATGCATTCCTCGGCGAAGACGATGACCACAATGGCTCGCAGTTCTGGACCGAGTGCGCTGTGATGTGGAGCTGTGTGACCACTGGCGCCGTCACCATAGATACTAACAATATACCCAACTGGTTCAACGAGCACCATAACGATGGCAAGGCCGAAGTGAATCCCAATTGGCGCATTGACATACTCGAGAAACTCAAACAGCGCCAACAGAGCGTGGCCAAGCTGCAGCAGGAAACCCACTACGAGAAGGCAGTCGAGCTAACGTCTTGGATTAAAACGGCGGACGCACGCTATCATCATCCAGGTGGCGACTACGACGATTGCACCATTGAGCTGGAATGGGTGAGCGGCAATGGAGGTGACAGCACAGAGAATGACTCCGGCACCTTCACAGTGCTCAGTCCCGACGGCTCAGCAACCAAAATACAATTCGCACTCTCCGATATTACGTGCGTGCAATGCTGCAGCGAGCCGGGTGCACCACGATTGGCCATACACGCAATGCATCTGCCTATCAATTGCAGCCCAGTCAAATTGCAATTCGCCGGTGATGCTGATATGGAGGATTGGCTATCCCACCTGTCCTCGGTGTGCAGTCAAATCAATATGCTAGTGGGCAAGCCGGCCAGCAATGCGATTTGGCTGACCAGCGATCTGGGCGATGTATTTGTCTTTGATGCAGCCAACATGAAGGCACAACAGCTAGAAAAGAACAGCAATGGACAGGCTCACTACGTGGAGCGCATGGATGTGTCTACGTGCGAGACACCCTACTACAATACGCTATATAATGGGTAAGAGTATATGTGATATACGTAATATGCGCATCATATTTATCAAATTGCTGACTTTCCCCTCCTCCCTAGCATGCCCTGTGGCAGCGAGCTGGAAATTGCGGGCTGTGTCTATGACGATGCCGATCAGATTCGCTTTGATTTACAGTGTCATTCTAGTATTAAAGCGCTCTCCCATCGTGTGGAGAAATATCGTGTCATAGCGATGCATTTGAATCCGCGCTTCAATGAGCGCACCACCGTACTCAACTCTATGATTGATTCCGAGTGGCTGGATGAAGTACGCAATGATCGCATGGTCTTTGCGCCTGGTGCGAGCTTCACTGTGAAAATCAGGTGAGCTTCAACACTTATCAGTCTGGCACACTTATCATTTAAATACCCGATTGTTAACATTTTTATAGGGCTCTTCAAAATCAATATCAGATTGTTGTGAACAATGAACTCTATGCCGATTACAAATACCGCACGGATCCGGCGGCGGTTACCTGTCTCTATGTCAGTGGGCGAGTGAAGCTATTTAGTGTCATCTATCGTTCGCCGTCGGTGATTTTATCTATGCAGCAATTGCACTGGCGGCAGATAGGCGGCCATGTGAAGCGAGTGTATAACAGTGGAGTGGATGTCGTCTGGGGCATATCCTGCGATAATACCGCTTGGGCGTACAACGGCGGCTGGGGCGGCATGTTCCTGAAGGGGCTGGAAGGGTCGGGCAAGATAAACGCAATGATTGACACGCACACCTACTACGTGTATGAGAATCAGCGCTGGAATCCCATCAGTGGCTTCACTGCCAAGAGCCTGCCCACGGATCGACACATGTGGAGCGATGCGACTGGGCGACAGAAACGTAGTAAGGAGCACACCAAGCTGCTGTCCACACACTGCGAATGGATATCCGATTGGGCCATCGACTACAATATACCCGGCGGAGCGGACAAGGAAGGCTGGCAGTATGCAATCGATTTTCCAGCCACCTATCATGCACAAAAGAAGCTAACGGATTGCGTGCGCCGACGGCGTTGGATGAAGAAATGTCGACTCACCAGCAGTGGCCCTTGGCAGGAGCTAAGTCATTCCAAAATACTAGATGCCTCACTACAGGTCCTGGACAGTGATGTGGACAGTGCACTGAACGTAGAGGATATGCCTGTTGCTGCATGGGCCGTCGCCTCGAATGGCGATGTCTTGATCCGTCATGGCGTTTCCACACTAAATCCTCGCGGAGATACCTGGGAGCATATTGTAAGCGATCAGCCGCTGGTAGGGATTAGTGTGGGACCCACTGGACAGGTCTGGGCAGTTGCTCGCAATGGCATGATCTTCTTCAGATATGGCATCAGCAAGGTGAACCCTTGTGGTGACGCCTGGCAGCAGGTCGAAGCACCGTCTGGCGTTACCTTCAAAGTCATTAGCGTAGGTCGTGCCGGCATCTGGGCATTGGACAACCAACAGCGTTTAGCAGTGCGTAAGGAAGTAACGCGCACATTCCCGGAGGGTTCACATTGGCAATTTCTCCCAAACTCTGCCAATGTTCCGCCGCACACAGAGACCCACTGCGGCTTTCGTTCCGTGTCCGTCGGCAAGGAAGTGTGGGCGATTTCCCTAAATGGCGTCATATGCCGACGATGTGGAATAACTAATGAGAATCCAGCTGGAGCTGGTTGGAGTCTAGGAATCGCGGTACATATGAACATGTTGAATATCTTTAAAGCATTTTTAAATTTGTAAAATTATTTACAGGGCCAATGGCAACACTTATCCCTGGAGGGGTATATGTAACGATCTCATTCCGATTTCAGTATTTATAGCGATACTCTACACTCAATAATGATATATTACAAACATAATATAGATCTGGAACAAACATTGACTATTGAACACTTGAGATGAAATGTTCAATAAAAAGACAACATTTAGTTTGTATTACTTGAACTTTGGGTGTAGATTCTCCATACGTAAAAATATCTTGACTGCAGCATTCTTCCTTTTTCCATAATAATATGAAATGCTTACACATAAGCTTGTTGTATTAAGCGTGATTATGTTTTAATTTATACGTTATATTTTTGTTATTATGTT